TTTACATCAACCTAAATCTCGTCAGTGATAAAATGTATAATCTTGCACAAACTTAGATAATAGTGATAGAACTTTGAGAATGAATGTGTTGAGCATAAAATATTTCCTTAGGACTGGTCTATATGACATCATATTTTGATCAGTATTCTCAACAAAAAAGATTAACTTAGGCATACTATTTTTTTCGAATAGGTGGTGTAAATGCTTCAAGTTAAAAGTGACTGATGATAAAAAATGGATTTATACTATTCTACTACAGTATCTTGACTTCAACGTATCAGGAGATTGTAAGCCCAAGAAGCATCATTATAAGGAATGGATAACTATCGAAACCCTGGGCAAGATTCAAGAGAGAAAGAACAAGAAGACAGCAATTAACAACAGCCGAACACGAGCAGAGAAAGACAAGACACAAGCTGAATACATAGAAGCAAACAATCAGGTAAACAAGGGCATTAGAGCTGACAAGAAGAAATACGTAGAAAACCTGCCAACGACAGCAGTAAACTCAATAAGAGGAGGAAATACGAGATAACCATTCGATATAACGAAGAAACTGACAAGGAAATATAGTAAACCAGAGAGACCGGTCAAGGACAAAGAAGGCATGCCAATCAATGAGATTCAATAACAGAGAAACAGATGGGGAGAACGACTTGGGGAACTCTTGAATGGGCCAACTCCACTAATCCCATCGGACATCAAAGCAGCGCACACAGATATTCACTCCACCAACGATCGAATACGTCAGGATGGCCATCTGATAAATCAAGAGTGGGAAAGCAGTAGGACCCGAAAATATACCAGTTGAAGCACTGAATTCAGATATAGAAGTAACTGCAAACATGCTCTACGTTCTATTCAGAAGGATTTGGGAGGAAAAACAAGTGCAGACAGACTGGAAAGAAGAGAGTCTCATCAAGATATCAAAAAAGAGATCTGGACAAGTGTGAGAACTCAGCCACAGAGTCATCTCAACAGAGTGTTATTGAACCGGATGAAGGATTAAGTAGACGTCCAACTTCGACATCAACAAGCCGGATTCCGTAAAGATCGGTCGTGCACAGACTAAATCGTAACACTACAGATTATTGTTAGGAAATTGACTGAATGGAATTCGTCACTATATAGCGATTTTTTTGACTACGAGAAGGCGTTTTATAGTGTGAATAGGAGAACCTTTCGGAACCTTTGAGGACACTATGGTGTACCCAAGAAGATCGTCAATATCACACGGAATTCATATGATTGACTACAGTGCAAAGTCGTGAATGGAGGACAGCTAACAAACACATCCCAAGTGAAGACCGGAGTCAGACAAGGCTGCGTTCTCTCTCCGTTCCTCTTTCTTCTGATAGATGACTAGATCTGATGACCACCATATATCAAGGGAAGCACGGAATAAAAGGAACAGCTTGCATGCAACTAGACAATTTGGACTTCGTAGATGACCTAGCTCTTCTATCCCATAAACATCAACAAATGAAGGTCAAGATAAACAGTGTAGCAGTAGCCTCTGCATCAGTAGACCTCAACATACACAAATGAAAATGCAAGATCCTTAAGTATAACACGGAGGATACCAACACAATCACACTTGATGGAGATACTCTGAAAGAGATGGAAAGTTTCATGTGCCTGGGCAGTATTACCGACAAACAAGAAGGATCTGATGCAAATGTAAAGTCGAGAATTGTCAAAGTAAGGGCAGCATTCCTACAGTTGAAGAACATGTGAAACCCAAAACAACTGTCAACTAATATCTAAGTCAGAATCTTCAATAAAAACGTCAAAACAGTTCTACTTAAATTTTTATCTCCATTCAAGATTACCAATATAATTGGGTTTTGAATCATTTGGAGTTAGGAAGTAATCTAAAGATTCATCGTTGAATGTAAGCGAAACTAATATTATTCAATCATATAAGCAACAAAACAGTTCATTCATTTAAAAATTTACATCAAATGACAAGAATAAATTACTTTATAGTCAATCAAACAAACAAAACAGTGATCAAGTTAATTAGATTACACTTTCCAAATTTCATTCTGATCAAGTAATTACATTTAGCAAAATGTATTTCATTGATTATATTACATCGTTAAAGTCTATTTTTATTTTACATTACTTCTCAATAGACTTACAACAAATGTATTCATCTATTAGTTGGTGTCTTGAATTAATACAATAAATGACAAAAATTTTACTTCATGTTGTCTTTGTTGAAATACAAAGAAAAAAGATGAGTTTTTCATTATGTCAAGTGAACAAATCTTATTTTTTTAGTCATAAAAAAGTTTTCAAATCCCTCTGGGCAGGATCGTGGATGTGTACTACTGAAGAGTCCCACAATAGGACGAAACGGTCGTCTAGTGCTTCCAGGTTTTCTATGATGGTCTAGCTTCAATCGACTCATAATCTCAAGTATTTAAAGTATTATAGTAAATTAAGTGAAATAATATGGATTTTCAAACTAAATAGTTGAATAGATAACTTGAATAGTTATACTTAATTGTTAATGAATTTTAACTTCTATTGACTTATGATCGGAAATGTTTTATTGACGTATTATATTGTTTCTTTAAAATAAACCTCAAAAGATAGAAAGTATCAACCAAGTTCAAGCTGAAGATTATGTTTAAATAGAGAAAGTTAAATAAGTTTTACCAAAATACTGAGTAGTATTGACCAATTTATCTGAATATCTATTAAGAAAAATATGTAAATATGTATATATATATATATATATATATATATATATATATATATATATATATATATATATATATATATATATATATGGGTTATTTAATAGTTGAATTTCAGTGAATTAGAGCTAGACTATCATGAAAAATCTCGATTAACCTGGGTTAATTTTTCTAAAAATAAATTAACTAAACTCGTGAATTAATTGCTAATTGATATTTTGAAATACTGGTTATGTAAATCCGATTTGAAAGTGTGTAGCAACTATCCTACAACCAACCTCCATTATGGTGAAATTTGGTTAAGCACTTTTATTAAGTTACCTAACTGACAATGTTATTTGAACAGTAACAATTCGCATGTCTTTGTACTATTATGATCACTATCTTGTCGGTATAAATGTGTATTCTTGATCACATGACAGACTCTAGCTAAAATGTTGATTGCTTAAATATCACTCGATGATTCATTCTCCTCCCCATGTATATATGTACTCAAATCCTATTATTAGCTTTCTTTTTGCCTTGCTGTGCCCTTATGCAATTTGACTATAAATTTGCCTATGTAATTGTTTGCATATCCATAATCACCGCTCTGCTTCAAATTCGCTTTAATTGCTCATAGCTTTGGTCTGCGCTATCTGCTAATAAACTGTAGTTGCCGCTTATATTGCCTTCTGATTCCAAACACCGTTAAAATGTATATAATAACGGTTACAAGGGTGATTGATCAACAAACCAAAGCCACTACAAGCGAACCAGCTGCGTGATATTATCCATTTGTCAAACGATAATGTCAATTAATTACCTCTATGTATAATTATTATTAAGTGATATGTCAGGTAGTAAGTTAACCTGATAATTCAGTTTGAACATTGTTGACTGTTCAATGATCTACAAGATCAATATCCTATGATGACCATTTACGTTTTATTTGATGTCAAATAGTTTTTTTCTTTCGAAAATTTTATTATTTTTCTACACAAAACAGATTTTTCCTTACTAGTCAGTTCATTATTCTCATATCCATTTATTGAACATTTAAAGTCAGTAATTCTTGCTTTATGAGCAGTTTTCGTTCGGTTAAACTACTTCTTGTTAACTTATTTAAATGATTGCATAATCTATAAAGGAAAGCACCTAACTGCGTCACAAGACAAACCCTCACATGGAATCCTCAAGGCCAAAGGAGGAGAGGAAGACTAAAGAACACATTACGCCGGGAAATGGAGACAGACATGATAAAAATGAACAAGAATTGGATAGGACTGGAAAGAAAGGCCCAAGACAGAGTGGATTGAAGAATGCTGGTCGGCGGCCTATGCTCCATTAGGAGTAACAGGCGTAATTAAGTAGGTAATAATCTATAAACTTAATGTACAACAATTCATCCAGTTATAATACAGAATGAATGAAACTAATATTACCTTGTAGATCAAGCCTCATCAAAATAATTTGTTTAGTCGGCTTCCGGAGAACTTCAACAGAGCCCCCAGAGGCCCAAAAGGAGCCGAAGGGTCCTAGCCAATCAGAGTATGATGGAACGTTCGAGAATTCCGGTGTGGCGTGCTACTATTGGTCGGTAGCATAATATGACGTTAACGGATTGGCTGAAATATGATGATGATTTAACAGACGCCAACATCTATAAATACCCTTGATTTTCTGTACAAAAAGGAACCTTAGGATAAAGTATTTTCTCTCATCCTTGTGTCTTCTCTCTGGTGTTTAAGTCGTTGTGTAGTTCTAGTCTGCGGGTTACCAGATAGCTTAGGAATCGTATATAGCGTTTCATCGACAAGACGTATCATAATTACATTATTAATCTTTATAAGATTATAATTATTATTCCCATGATATTTCAATTCTGATTTATTTTTTATTATTTTATAATTTTTTAACTCAATTTATTATTGTCATATCATTATGAGCCAATCAAATTAATCGGAATTTTAAAATTCAACTCAAACTTATCTACCAATCATAATTATACAAGTGAAGAATGAACATTCCAAGTTTTTTTGCCCCTATCTATCTATCTATTTATCTGCCTTTAAATCTATAGTATTTAATGGTACTAAGTGTTATTTATTATTCATAAATACCCAATTTACTTATTAAAATACATTGTTACCGATTAATATCTAATTTTGAAATATCATTTGTAGAATAAAACTTCATTAGTACGAGTTTTTTCAAAGAATGAATCAATTTGTATGTTATTTTATTATTCTTAGTTTATATATAACTTATTATTATTGTTATACAATTAAAATGAACCCATATGGAAATTTTATGTATCCTTCATTATCAACCTCATCATCGTCTGTCTCATCATCAGAATCAGAATCAGAATCATCTCCAAAACTGTTAGTATCTTCATCAAAATCACTACCTATATCTCAATCTTTAATTGATAAATATCTTACATTTAATAATAAATTCAATAAAGATCAATTTAATCAATATTCTGATGATCGTTTTAATCATTATTATGATTATTATTATAATCATCATCATCCACGAATGTCGAAACGTGCTGATTTGAAAGATTTATCAATTCATAGTGATATGGCATTTATACGTAAATTATTCGATCAAAAAAATCATGAATTATTAAGACTTGGATAAGTTTTCAAAAACAAAAAATCATAAAAATTTTAATTATTTTAGCTAAATAATGATCATTATTATTATTATTATTGATTTCATTCTTGTTTTACTGAACTAACAATTCAAAGATCTATAATTCTATGTTATTAGTAATGTATTTATTAGAAATGTTAACCAATAAAAATGCTAATAAAATTTAAAATAAAACTGGCGGGAATTTTGTAGGTATCATTACCAAGGTTTTGGTTATTTATTCACTGAAGAGATAGTTTACACTAAGTGACGAAACGTCAGAAAATCTAATTTTTCTACTCATTAAGATATTACAAATATATTAATTTATTTATGGCTTAGATTTGTTTAAAAATTACTATTCATCTGATATATTTTTTATATTTTAACAAGAGATCATGACAATAGTATAATAAGTAGTATAGTCAATAGTAAAATAGAAATATCTCATCAAATCTAGTTCGTTTGTTTTATGAGATGTAAATATTTTTTTGGATTTCGACTTTTAGAAAGTTGAAATTCTGTACTGTTTAAATGTCTTAAACTAGTAAAAGAACTATCAACTGCCTCCTTATTATCATTAATAATGAATTTTTGTAAATAATAAACTGTGAATAATGAGGTTAGAGTTATGGGGATATTGAGTGTAGCGCACACAGACAGGTTGTATAGAGAATATAGATATAGTCAAAGTTACGACTGGAAAATGAAAACTCTACTCTAAGCACCAATTATTCATTGAATGAACGGAAAAATGACCGAATTGCTAGGTATGATATGTACCGAACATGAAAATAATGTGATTAAACTTAATCGAGTAATTATATATTAACGACTAATTATTACATACACGAAGAATTTTGTTAAATTGTAGAAAGTGAATATCACTTTGACAGTTGAATGGTTAGTTGATAAAGAGAAAATTTGTTACAGTGCCAATAGTAATTTTTTGTCTATTTTTCTGCTTCTAACTTTAATTAAGATTGTAGTGGATTATCATCAAGATAATTCCTTATGCTTAACATGTTAATTGTCCTGACAACCGTTATTAAACCAATCTCAACGATATATAAATTTCAGAAGATAATAAGAGGCGTCAACTACAGTTTATTATTAAACAGCTTAGGTTACCAAGTCACAAACACACAAAACGAATTCGAACAGAAATGTTAATGATATCGAACAAATGTAGAGGCGAATTAAGACATGAACGAGTTAACAAGACTCAATCTCACATGTATGAGAAAGCGAAGATTCATTGAACAATGTAAGCAACTAATATTTGAGCTAGTAAGAGGGATACATGTGTTTAAGCTGTAACACGTGACCAACCATACAAACACGATATCAATAATGATATAATGATATACAAATTGTCACTATTTAACGCTGCTTGCTAAGTTAGTTGAAGGGCTTGACAGGATTAAACGTAAACAAACTTAAGTGTAGGTGAGGTGCTATATTACTATGTACTACATAGTAAAAGGCTTCAGTAACATATCGAAGCAAGATTCTTTTTGTATGTAAGTGTGAATATTATTATTTTCGCCACCTTAATCGTAGCAAGAAATGGAGTTTCAACTTGTTATCCATTACTGATATAATCATAATTATTATCATGTTACGTATTGCACTTGGCATTTTGTTTATTCAACAAATTTGAACAGTTTAATTAAATGATAATTTGATCTCTATTTTGATAAAATCATATCGTCCTAATTACATCAGTGAATATTTGTCTGAAACGAACATAAAAATGATAACAATTTACCGCTTCATGTTATAAGTAAACGGAAACAATCTATAGCCTTAATTATTACAGTACTTACCAATAATTATCAACAAAAAGAACTCAGTGACAATCTAAATGCAAAATATCTCACGATTAATCCTATTTTAAGTTCTAATGACTTTAAAGATTAACATAGTTATTAAAATGGATTTATACCGCTTAAGTACAATGACTTTCATTGCTACTAAGCAAAAAGTGGAAATTTAACTTAAATCTAACTTTTTGCATAAACTACAATACTTGTAATCCTGACAAATCTTATTATTTAGTAGTTGAATACACCAGTCAATTGAATCTAGACAACCATGGAAAACCTGGAAGCACTGGACGGCCGTATCGTCCCAGTATGGGACTCTTCAGCAGTGTGCATCCACGATCCCTCCTGTCTAGCTTCAATTGACTCATGAATTCAACTACTATATTACTATAGTATCCACAAAACGTCTCTTTGATTGAAATATTATTATTTGAAGTCGCCAAGATCTGACCAATTGTTTTCTATAACTTGAATGTCTATTCAGCCATCACATAATAATTATTTAATCTAATTGCATTTCTGAAACTTAAATGAATTAGGATTAGTAAGGGAATAGTCACTTTCCAATTAATAATTCTTTTAACTTGTCAGAGTTTTATATCAATCTAATATTAACTTTTTTTAATCATTTTACTTTACGAAAGTTTCCATACCAATTTTTATCATAAACCTATTCATCTTTTCGACTATTAACTCAGTTCGATGCCAATATTAAAATAACGTTTACTTAATTTTTTATGTTGTATAAATACCCTTGAAGAATCTTACTATCAGGATGACTATCATAGAATCGGTATTGACTGGACGCACATGAAAATTTGTTCTCCCCAAGATGTACTGTGTAAATGTTATCATTAATACACTATTTATCTCAATGACCTTAATAATAAAGTATAATTTTTCTAATAGTTGGATTCATGAGTCAATTGAAGCCAGATCACCATAGAAAACCTGGAAGCATTGGATGGCCGCTTCGTTCTAGGATGGAACTCCTCAGCAGTGCACATTCACGATCCCACCTCGTGAGATTCCAATCCAGGACCGATCAGTTTCGCATACGACCGCCTAACCATTAAACCACTGAACCGGTCGGCATCCAATGGTGTTAATGTCTAACTTCAACCAATCCACGAAATCGAACCACCTTCCACCATTATCTTTAGTGAGTTATTATCTCACGACAGATCCGGTTGAACTCCACTGATCACTAGAACTCCAGGAAATACGTCTTGGATACCGTCACTAGTGAGTATATAATGATTATAGTCAGAGAGGGGTTTAACAGTCAAAGAGTTAGTATTTACAATTTGTTATTAATTGATTGAACATAAAAATGAGCGATCATATTCTAATAGTAAATAAGACTATTGACCTAGACAAAGTTATTTTATTTATTAATCATGAGATTATATTCAAATAAACCATCAAAATATGTTTTAAATCTTTTTAAATTTTTTATTAAAACTGACTCAAGGAATTTGGTAAAGTACTCGATATTCATTTGTATGAACTATTAAATGAAAACAAACAATGTATTCACTAAACGAGTTCTTTTGAATGAACTCATTCTCAAAGCTATACAAACGTATTTAGATGTGATAAATTAAAGGTCAATGAATAACTATATGTCTATTAGGATTTGATTTGTTGTCATGCGGAATTTGACTACACTTTTTTAAATAAATAAATAAATAAATAGTTGAAGTTAAACATTAATAGCATTGAATGCCTGCTCAGTGGTCTAGTGGTTAAGTGTTCATTCGCGAGACCCATAGGTCCTGGATTAGAGTCCCGAGGGCAGGATGGTGGACGTGCACTGCTGAGGAGTACCATACTAGAACGAAACGGCTGTTCAGTGCTTTCAGGTTTTAAATGGTGATCTAGCTTACATTAACTCATGAATTCAACTATTAAAATTATTACAATCTCCACAAACCCTATTTTGATCACAAGTCATTTTTGACGGCCTTCAATAATTAAAAGATAAAATTTCTTTGGCTTATTGTTTTGGACAATATTACAGAGTATAAAATTTTATCTTCCGTTTTAATAAAACCTTCAAGGGTAATCAAAATTAAATGTAGAATAATGAATAAGATCATGCAACACCAATTATATTTTAATATTGTGATAGAAACTCAAAATTAACATGTTAATATATAGTGTATAGCATAATGATACTATTCGATGTCAAATATGAATAATTAATTAACATATAGTTGTGGATTTATCCTTCTGCTTTTGTTAGCCATTATCCATAAAATCTGAAGTGACTTGATGTTAATAACGAAATAAAGAGTCAGTGACAAACAATGAAATTGACTTCTTAAAATATTATCTTGCTTAATTCTTAATCTGTAAAGAACTAACATTTAGTTTTGTCTCTATTTTAGTATGTGAATTATAAAGTTTCGTTTAATGTATAAGTTACTGTCATATTCTTTGCTATTCCGAAGTTATTTATTTACTTATTATTTATTTGAACACATAAATATTGATACAAGAGAGTACCAAATATATTTGCGCCACACAAAACAATGAGAATTCGAAGAGAAGAAAAAGAACAATAACAACCACAGATTAGTGTAAGGTGGCGTAATAATAATAATAATAGTAATAATAATAATAATAATAATAGTAATGGTAATAATGGGGGAAACGGAAAGGTACAACCAGGAAGAATTCCTCCAGTTAAGGTAGATACAACCACTTTTTATGAAGTAAAAGAAGGTTACAGCAGGATCGCCACTGGTTTCTATTCTGAGCCATATCTGATAACGTCTCTAGCCACAGTGTAGCACCATCTCTCGGACCCCAGTCAGGGAGTCGTGAAGGACCAACACAAGCCAGTCCTTTACAGCTTCCTTTCATACCACGACACCATGTCATACACCGACCACCTCTCCGCTTTTTCCAACCAGTCACAGTGTCGGCAAATAATGCACGACGTGGAATGCTCTGGGACGACATTCGTAGAACATGTCCAGGCCACCGAAGTCGGTGTTTCAAGATGGTGACACTAATTGCATTATTATCTCTGTGCCAGAACACACGATGCCAAACCTCTGCATTACTGACATGGTGTTGCCACTGGATGTCAGCAATCCTTCGGAGACAGCGATGATCGAACACAGAGAGTCGTCTAACATCCTAAACTCGGAGTGCCAAGGTTTCTCA